AGAGCGCGTGTCGACTCTCCCCGAAATTACTTTGAAAGCAATTAATGGTAATTAATCTGGTTGGGTTAATTTCATCTCGGCTTACAACGGAAAAATATGGATGACAATAAATTTTGAAATTCAAATCGGTTTTCAATTGGTCTGTTGAGAAATCGACCTTGCCAACCAAATAAAAAATTATTTGACGATTTCTTCTCGAATTTCTAATTCGTTCAAGATATGACAAAGAGGGAAATATAAGGTCCGGGGGGGAAGTGGTGGGTAGACCACCTTCGAAGGCGGCCAGAGACTTAAAAAAAAATTGGAATAATGAATTCGCACGTTCGGGTAAATTCAGGCGTCATAGGCATCTAATCGTATGATAGCAAAGCGATCTTTATCGAACCGGGCTGGGATCCAGCGAATTAAGTCATTCGCTGGGACAAATCTCGGAGAACCATCAATGAACAATGGAATGAACAATGGTCAAGTTGACCGACGCCGATAGGAAAATGGCCACAAATCCAAAAAGTCGTACCGCACGTTTTCTGGCGCCTAAAACACGTTGAATGAACCGATGAATGATATTATGTAACGTGACGAATCTAGGAGGAAGCATATTTACACTTCCGAACCGTTTTGGTTTAGATCAATTGAAGGTCAATTCTGCAGTATTTTCGGGAAGATCCAGTGCGACGGAGGCAGCCGTTCCAAGAGCACAAAGACCGGAGAAATTTATCGCAGAAATATGCAAATCCTGCTGGGGAACGGGGAAATTAGGGTGCAAAAAAACTCAAATTGCAGAGCATCTCCATGCCAGGCATCTCATGCAAATCGGCGCGAGAAAACCCAAATGGAATAATTTCATTATAAAGTCAAAAACAGTCTAAATTATAATACGCAGTTAAGCGAATTGCCTAACCATGAAGAGGTCATATGAAGGTGAGAGGGGTCTCATATTAACCCTCACGGTCTGAAGGGCTTGCACAAAAAGTATAACATGTTAATTGATAGGTTAATTAATTATTTTAAAAGTTAATTAGCTTCTTCCCGATGATAATTCTTTTGTGCTCTCTTGGGTTGAACTACGCAGTCTCTTGGACCTCAACGACGCCCCCTACATCTGATAACTAATTATGTTTTCTCTTATTGCTAATTAAAAGAAATTAACCCTGAGTTCTTTTTGGCTGTTGAAATTAAGTCCAGTTGAAATGAAAATGAAATCTATTCCAGCTATATTCTCCATTTGAAGTGCACGACTCGAATTTGATTCGCAATTAACAAATTTGGGAAAGTAAAAGTGTCCTCGGCATATCGAGACTTCGGAAAGGAGACTTCGGCATGGAAAATGTTGACGTCAAATTTTTATCGCGCGATTCCTTGATTTGCCATGGAAAATGTTAAAAATTAGACATTGGGATTACTTTTGTAGCTTGAAATGTCACGGTTGAATAAATTAGGCACAAACAACCGAGTTTTCCAGTGGAAACACGACTTTCAAACATGTTAGGATTAACGCGTTAACAAGTCATGTATGGTTTGAAATCGTCACATGATTCAAGAAATCAGGGTAATCAAGTTTAAAATGAAAATCTTTCGGAAAAATTCATTGGTTCTGCACTTTGAACTTTCTTGGGAGAGATTCTGAAAGTTCAAGTCCTCTTTCTTTGCATTTTCTCCTCAATCCTTCTCATGAACTCACTGAAAGTATATCTTCTCCTTCGACGCATCGCTGTTTCGAGCAGCTTGAGCCCTCTGGTGCTATCTACAGCGGAAAAGACTGACATGCCGGAAGAAGTCACTCGGATGTGTGATACATCGCTCATGCGTCATTGAGATAAGCAATCGTAATTTATCGCGTCCTGACACATAATTAAATTCCGCGTGCCGCCGCCACATGACGCAAGGGCCTCGGCGACCTCAGCTGGCCGGATCAGTCACTCGAGGAGGGAGCGAACAGCTGAGAAATCTTGCCGGGAATGGAATTCGCCTTCCCGCTGAAACTCACGCGGCAGCTTGGGGATCGGAGTCCCGGTCGACGTGGAGTGAAGCCGGACCTGCGCGCACTTCAGGATCTCCCCGTCCATGGCCAGCAGGATGTCTGACGTCACGTTGCTGGAAAATAACGAAAAAAATCGGTCGGGTCAGACTCGTCACAATTCCCTCGTATATACTGTCGTTCGTAGGCATAATTTTTCTCGACGGGGCGGTCGATTCCAGGGTCGTCGGCTGTCGACGCTTGCCTGATTTATCGGGCAAGTGCTTCTAAAATGACTCAATAAGATAGAATGAAAGGGAAAAAAATTGAATAATGAGAGTCTTCAGGTACAAAGAGGCTTTTTTTGCTGCTCAAAGAGACGAAGCTCTAAAAATATCGATGGGGCAAGCAGTTTGAAACGACTTCAACAATGGCTGGAAAAAATATCGTTACTCTGGCCGACTGACAAGCCCTGCATGTGTTAAAAGCTAATAAAAATGAAGATAATAGATTGAAGTGGCCTGAATGGATGGTGCACCATCAATAAGACGGGGGCCATTCCTTTTCGGCACTGGCGTAACGGCTACGAGATTCGGCGAGCGAGAAAAAAAGTGGCAAAGAGGGTGTAGCTCATTACCCGGCTGTTGGCATGAATGGATATGCTCATTTCATATTCCCTGTCCTCCATTTTTTACATGCCAGCCTCTCCCTTTAAAACTACTTTCAAACGCGATGCCAACAGAGCATCCGAGCGAGGATGGATGACCTCTTACGCCGCTCTTTCCCCCTTTCCCGCCTCCTTAATAGCGCGGGAGGTTCTGATACGCCGGGAGATTCGGCGAGCGAAAAGGGAGGCAGGTGTGATGGATATGAGGCGTTTGCCTCTTTCTTCATCATTCTTTCTGGGGTGCATGATGTGCACGATGCCAGGTGTGGTCGCGGCTGATAATGGGGCGGGGTGGGAGAAGGGGAAATGCAAAGATTCTCGGTAAAGATTCGTCGGCAATAAAAAAAAATACAGAGGATCGGAAGTCATCCGAAGAGAATCGACAGAGGATGAGAAGGAATACAGGGTGTCCCATAAGTTAGTTTACCGAGGGATTTTCTGTTATGCCAAATTGTGCATCTAAGTTCATCCATAACGAAAATGAAAACATGCAACAATAAAGATAATTAATAACAAAAACTATATCACACAACGTTAAGTTAATTAAATTTAATAAGAATAACTGAAAATCCCTCGGTAAACTAATTAATGGGACACCCTGTATATTTTCGTCAAGAAGCACGAGTGCAGAATTTGGGCTTCGTTCTCATGGGGAAGCAGGTGACGAGCGTACAACCGTGTCACGATCTGCACCGCGTTCACTCACCATCTTTATTTATTTTTTTCTGGTCTCAGCCTCCAGACCGAACGATGATGCATCGGAGCTCGTAGGCTGCCATCGTATCGGCGGGAGACGCGAAGAAAGTCGAAACTTCAAGGAAACTTTTCACGGCCGGGATGCGAACGGGAACAAGGTTCGGGGTTGTCCGATCGTTTTCCGCAAAGGGGGGGGGAGACGTGTCACCCGACGTGTAACGGACTGTCACGCTGCCAGAATGGTTGCAGCCATTAATCATGAACCGTTCTGGTGAATGCATGGATATTTTTACAGGGCGGGGAAGGGATCAGGGATTCGGCATCTGCTCCTCCCCAGCTTTCCTTCCCTTTCGCCTATCTCCAAGCCGATCCTAATTACTCTCTCGGCGACAGGCAGTTGATAGACGCGTTCGCGTTCCGACGACTACATTCGTACTTACACTTCTCGCGTTCGCATGCGAGGGCAGAAAATGTCTAGGCTTCGAGTTTGTCGTTCTATTTTGCTCAAAATTTCGCAGTTTTTCAAAGTATATATGCATTTTTTTTTTTATCGGAGGCGCGGACACGGAGCAAAAGATGAAGCAGGCAGTATCGAGTGACATGCTTATGTCATCAGTGTCCCGCATCGTGAACGGGCTCCATTGTCTTCACCGCGCTCCATTTCCTCCGTGAGTTTGTTTAGCTTTCACCTGAGATCACGGGAGCGGGGTTTATGAAGCCTCTTGGCTCCCCCATCACTTCACCGCCCCCATTTGCTTATCGATGGAACCGAACCCTCCAGATTTTTTTTCCAAGCCCCCCATCATCAGAGCAGAAAAGAAAAAGAAAAAGAAAAAGAAAGAAATGATCTTTCAGTGCAAGGTCTCGAGGTGCTCAGAATTTACTCACGGACCCGAGAAGCGTTTTTGCTGCCCTGCCTGCAATACACCGTAGAGGCGCTTGCCAAATCGTTCTTGTCTTGTTCCCCGCTTCGTTCATCTCGGGCCAGGGGACTCAGAGGGAACAAAGCCCCGTTTACAAAGGATCTATTCGTCAACTTTTATCTGCTGAAATCTCGCCTTTTCCGATACCCTCAGCTGGTTTCTGAGGGTCGTTCCGCCTGGAATGTCACTAACCCGTGCGACACAAAGGTCGTCAGAATCCATCTATGTCACAGGATAGTTTTCAAACCCCCCCACAAAATGGAAAAAGGAAATGACAAAACCATCGAATGTGTCTCAAGTGTCAAGGTTCACCATCTCATCGTTCTTTATCATCTTGATGATTGTGGCAGCATCCATGAAGGGAGTAACCCGAATGACATGAGAAAGATACATGGGATAGATGAAATCACTGGAATCTAGAAACCATTGGTCTCGCTCATCAAGAGGTAAAAACATACACACACGTGCACAAGATTCACTCGAAAGTCAGTCAGAAAAAGGGTGGAGGGGGTATCGAGGGAGAGGGGGAAATATCCAGGGAAATACATATTGCAGTTGTATGAAGGATATGGGAATGAGCCGATGAATACAATCGAGCCCGTCTGCGAGTAGCTCGAATTCTCTCTGATGGATTCAATCCCGCAAGATGCCGATGAGTGTCTGTTTCGTACACGATATCACGTGCAAATAAATTTATTTAAGCGTCGGAATAATCTTTGCCGGCGTGGCCTAGCCTCTTCGCGAGATCATGCATCACGTCCTTGAAGATCAACGTGTCTATGTTCTGTCCGAGCATGTAGAAGAGGAACCAGTCACCCATCTTGGAGCGTCGGACGATGGTGTTGATCACCTCCTTGTTGACGACGCGGAAGCGGAGCGACAGCAGGTACGCCCGCATCCGCGGACTGATGATGATCACCAGCCGGTAGAAGAGGACGCCCAGGGTCAGGACGCCCATGATCAAGAACCAGAACCAGAGGAAGATGTAGATCTTCTCGTTGACGATGTTGAGCGGGAGGATGCAGAGGGAGTCGTGTCGCTCCACCTCGCCGGAGCGGCCGAACATGTGGAACGTGCACTTGGTCATTCGGGGGAACACGTAAATCATCGGGTCTACTCGGTCCTCCTGGTCCCACTCGGTGAATGTGATCACGTCCAGACCGTACGTGAGGAAGAGGCCATCGAAGAACTTGTTCATCAGGAACATCTGCCCTGGAACACGAAAAACAACAGCAGCTTGTCAACAGCCTCCCATAAACAACTGTGATCGAAACGCTACCTGGTTTCAGTCCGTCACCAGGCGTGACACTATTTGCTTTTCCTGACTGGCAGATGACGGATTATTGCGGACAGGGTCTAGTTCACGTAGGAGAGAGGAAGAATCTTGTCTAAAATTTATCATTACGACTCGTTCCAAAAAAAATTACAGTGAAATCTCGCGATAATAGATGTCGCTGGGGAGCCATGAATGAACATTTCGTTCACTAATATTCATAATTTACAGAAATTCTCCTTATTCCTGTTATTTCATTTGAAACGCATCTAACCTTTGAAAAGCCAATATATGCCTCAAATTTTGGGGTTATCGGATTTTGGGGTTTTGGAAACTTAGAAGCCATTTTCTCAGAATATCACTAACTCGAATGTGACATTTTAAAATGCCATAACTGCGCACATTGGCATTTTTGAATGGAGGTTGCTATATTGAAAGTCTGGACTACAAATATTGTTTCTAACGTTTTATATCTTGTTTCCTGTTTTTAGAACGAGGAACAAATCCTGATGATACATCCCAGCAATACCTGCCCGAGTTTCCTCAATGCCAACGAGAAAATATCCCATACATAAACGAGTACCGTGCAACCGGCAGGGTTCTTGGCTCACGGCCGATGCGACTCAGGAAAGCATTTCCCTGCCTTCTTGGAGCCGAGGATCTTTTGCACCAAGCCATCACTATTTCCTTATCCGCCTAGTCTTAGGGAACATGAGCTGCGGAGTGTAGAAAGCCAGGTGATGGACATTTCGTAACTCAGGACGAAACTTGAAAAAAAAAATCTGAGCGCTTTTACTTTCTTTGCCTTATTCCTTTTGATGTCATATTTCATGCTGAGGTACGTTTCCTTCCCCTTTTGTCTACTCCCCTTTTGTCTACTCTCCTCTTGTCTGGCTTTACATAGAACTGATAAGCGCAGATAATCTTCTATAGACCCCATATCGCAAATGCAAACGAATGAGAGAGGTGACACGGAACGAAAAACGAAATACTAAATCCGAGAACGGATTCCCAAAATTCACATTTAGTGATTGATACCTCACGCGATTCAAGATGGCATATTTCCACCTGGGCAGAAAGTACATAACTGGAACATGATGGGGCAAGTCGAGACAAGCAGGAAGGAAGCACGTGCAAGGAAGAGATAAGGGAGAAGAGGCAAGCTGGCACGCACGTGTCATCCGGTACTGGAGGACATTCTCAAGCACACCTACATGCGATTAGGGCGGAAATTTTTTTTTCCCTTTTGGAAGCATTGAGGAATGGCGCCAAGTTATTAGCCTCCTCTTTCTTCCTGTCAGCCCGAAGGATCCAAAAACAACGTTCGCTTAAATTTAATCTCTTTCCCTATAGCAACAAATATACGTGGACATGTTGGAGCTCAAAGGAAGCTCCCACGTCAGTTATTTCGGAATTTAATTGAGGTTATCAGCTCTCGACCCCGTGGGCTCTGCCCCAGTTTTATTTAGATACTGTACTGTTTATGTGATTCAGACAAAGGTGAATCAGCTCGAGATGATACAAAGTGGGAGATGAAGTGTTTCCCATCTGAAAATGTGTCAAATTCCTGAGGAAAAACGCAATTGAAACTTCACGGGAAGATAGCCGGACGAGAGCACTCATCGTCGCCCGACGAGGCCATGAACGAAATGGTACATTTCGAAAAGGTACAGAAATCAGAACAATTCGAAAATCGACTGAAGCTCAGGTGTCTCTGGGTTCACAACGCATTTCCCACAGTTGATTTCCCCATTGATACCGAGACGAGTGAGCATGTAGGAGTCGCGCCTGATCTAGAGAGGACCCTGCTCGACAGCAGCGCATAATCCATTGACTCGATGCTAAGGTATCTCACGTTCCTGTTCCCTTCCCACCGGCACAGCCATCAAAGGCGAAGGGGGAAGTATGGGATTCGAGGTGGAGCTTTGCAGCTGCACGCGTCGCTGAATACTAGGCAATCCTTTCAGGAATCCTTATTGGCTGAATTAGCTTGTAGATGATCAGATGTAACATAGTAGTATCTACCTGTATATATCTTTTACTCGAGGTTGCAGGTTGTATAACGTTTTCACATTTTCCCCCTTCAACCCTTAGAATCCCAAGGTGCCGATATATCGGCTTCCTAATGCGATACAAATCTGTCTGGGAGCGAAAGAATTAAGAAGGTATCCTTCGCATGCATGCATGGAAAGTTCCTCTCGAGTTGAATGGTAAAGTGCAGTTGAGAATAAGAAAATGTACCAATTTTAAACCCTACGTGCAAATTCAAGACGTAGCCGCGTGCCTCTCGGACTTCGCAACTTACGCTCGAATGGAAGCTCTGAGGCTTTGCCAGAAATTCAGTCAACTCCCTTTCATTTTTTGCAATGAAACAGAATACGGAACGAACATTATGACTGTTCGTGAAGTTAACCTGAAGCTGATGTATTAATTTTCTTCATAGGCATGGTGAGGAACTAGCTGAGAAATATTAGCATAAATGTTTAAATTATATAAAATATATAAACATAAATGTGAAGCGCATAAATAGTATTTGGAATATTTATAGGGAAGAGCTAACATTTCTGAACTCAACAAACAACTTCAAATCATCACGCAGTTTCTTCGAGAAAAAAAAAACGTCATTTGGGGGCTGAAGAGAAACTGAAGCCAAAATGGCTGTCTGGTGCTTAAAGAATCCGTCGCCATAAGGTTGAGAGTTATTGCGGCCTTTCCGTCCTTGGAAATTACCGTCCCTCCTCACTTGTCAGACAATGCAACCGCTGTGCGAGGAGTTGGAATGCTTTTGGTTTGGGAATCCTAATTGAGCTCCTTTTTATAGATTACAGGAGGGGAGAGAGAGAGAGAGACAGGTTTGGCAGGTTGTCATTGTCGCAGGAAGTGTGAAGGCCAGACCATGTCAACTCCAACATCAACAAACGCCCCGATTGTGAGACCTCTCAGTCTCTTCGGGCACGTGATGAGACTTCACGCTACATTTGCAGGAGAGCCTGATGCTTCACCTGAATGAGCTCGGGGGCGAAGGGGGCAAAAAAGCCAGGGCTGGGGTCGTTCGGGCTTGCCAGGACCTCATCGAGAGAGCTCAGCAGGTTGTCAGACCGAGTTTGGTCTCGAGGTGATAGTTTTTGTAGAGCGAGCCAAGACCCAGACCCGATGCAAACTCATTATCTACACCGGATAATAGGTCTGTGTCGAGGAAAACCGGCGACGACGCGGTCGGGTCTTTGGGAAAGGGGGGGACTGAAACAAGAAGTTAAAGGGAGAAAGGCCTTCGGAGTACTGTGGGAGGCTTTCCAATGAAGGCGGAGACTTGGATTCACCCGAATGAGCAGGTTAACGAGACCCGGAGTGTAGAAAACTGGGTCCTGACGTTACTTCCTCCTCGTTGACGTGACTATGGGCCGATGCCAATCATTGAAAAAAAAAATTCAGGTAAAAGCGACAGACGTATCACCGAGGGAGACATCGCTTGCGATAACGGTGGGCTGAAGGAACATAGCGACTCGAAACATGCGACGCCAGTAAAATGATCACCCCGATTAAGGCTATCTGCTCCCAGACAGATTGGCACTCAAACTCTCGCTTACTTCCATCTCAACGACGGTCGCCGAAGATGCTGATTTCAATTACGCCTGGTCGTGACTGAACGGAGCGTGAACGACGCAGCAGATGCGTCACGTCGTGGGCGAAAGCGAAGATTTCCGGCGAGAAGAGGAAGACAGAGGCTCGAGTGTGTGAGCTTTCTATCGAAAGATGCTGGGTGACTGGGATTCTTTCTCGTTCGGAGAAACGAGAAGCAGATGGGAGAAATTTCTAACGGTTCTCTCTGAGGGCTCGGTTCCACGTTGGGATGCGAGTCACTGTCACGGCCGGAACAGGTCTTTTATTCTGTCCAAATTTATCATGACATCATTACTGTCTTACTTTCCGAATATGTCTTGAGCCTCATCATCGTTCTCGAGATCGGGTGCTGTCGATGTCGATGGATGAGATTCGTCGTTTCCCGCTTCTTCGTAAACGAATTTCTCGGGGAACGGATTGTCTAGAGAATCACGGAGGCTGAAAATGGCTTTTCTATTATTATCGGGTTCGCGCTCCCAGGCCGCCAGCAACGCTGCAACAATCCCTCCGAGACAAAGGAAGGGGAAGTGGAAGGGTGAGAAGGGAACAGGGCCAAAGAGCCTCGACCTCTTCTCCCAGAGGACGACTCCTCTGTCGTCGATGTCAAGATTCCAAGACAAGAGCACGATATTGGTGGTTATGGGGGGGGGGGGGGGGGGAAAAACTTTGGCGAGATGCCGCTTGCGACTCGACGCGTGGGGATATGTTCGACTCGACGCATGGGGATATGTTCCAGGCGAGAAATTCAAACAATACGGTGCGGGGTCCTCGAAGGAATAGAAATAGCACGATGGAGAACTTCGTTTGGTGTCTGTAGCTCATAAAGGAAGGCCATTCCTGTAACGGCGTAAGTATCTCCAATCATTCCTAGCGCGAGAGTGGAGAGAAGGCTGGCCGACGGCCAACTGGGTCGTTGCTTCTGCATGCTTGCGAATCCGCAACACTAGTGACATCACCAAGCATACATCCTTCCCACTCGTACCACATTTCCGGGATTTGTCCTTTTAGCACACATCGTTCAAACCACGAGCAGGGAGCCAATAGAGACAGCTGAAACTGCGAGGAGGAGGAACCATGACAGGAACACCCGTGATCGAATGCCAAGCTCTAGCTTTTTTTTAATATCCCATTTTGGCGTGCTTCACACCGCAGAGGCAATAGTTGAATTTGCAGCCGAATATACTCCGTATATATTTTTCTCTCATCTGGAAACCCTATGTTTTTCGCCATACTCCATTCAGCATAGCATAGTGCATCCTTTCCCTCGGATAGCGATAAAAGCCTCCTGGCTTCCTCCACAACCACGACGTTCTTCACGTTAACCGAATAACTACTGCATGAATAACTGGAACAACGAGGCCTCATCCTCAAGAATTGCTTCGGAGAAGAGAAGGGAGGCAACAAGCGTTCACAGAGAAAAATTAATATGGTGCATTGTGACAAATGAAGAATAATTATTAGACGATCGCACCTATCTAGAAAATCGCAATTAACTTGTAAGTGCGTTCGATCTGATAAGCAGAGTGAAATATATCAAGAAAACACGACTGGCCGCCCTACAGAGAGCTAAAAAGACTTCGTGCTGTGCACATTTATCTTGGCCTCAGTCTAAGCAGACTATCGCGTTACTCTGGGAAGGAAAACAACAATCACAGGCCCGAGAGAAACGTCTCAGGTGGATGGGGGACCGTGCAGTCCTCGTGGGCAGGGGAGCGAAGGGGAGCGACTGGAGGTCGCAGCGTCGCTTTCGTGGGCCCGCTTGCGAGGGATCGTTTGCCGGCTGCGCTTCGCGTTGACGCGGGGGGGGGGGGGGGGGGGGGGGGGGGGGGGGGGG